TTCTTGAAACACATTACATTAGTAAAATGAACATGGAAGGAACCTCTCGACTTGGGAATAAAAAAAGAAAATTAATTCGTATATAATATCTAGATACTTTTGTTGTCATTAAATATTTGATATCCGCCCATTGCTTATATTTAAATAAAAGGCAAATTTTTTTAATAAAATATTATGAAATTCGATAAGTCGGATCTCGCGATAAGTCGGACAAAATCTCTGCCCCGATGAGTCCGACTTATCGAGAGTGACTATGTATTGTGCCACAAACCCCAGCCCAACTGCAAGAAATGCTGAGATAATGCAAAGCTAGAAGCCTTGTTTGACCATAACTATATATCGCCTTCTATTGGTGAAGCACATCGTACACGACAACCGATTAGATATAAATGTAACCATTGTTTTACGCATGTGATTCATCATGTGAACGAAAGCTAGTTCTATATATATTTATTGGGTACGGAGTTTGTTTCCGAAGCTTTTTCCCCACGATGAAACAAAAGAAAAAACAAAAGAAACAAAAGAAAGGAAAAGAACGACTTGACGAACGAATAATCGTCAAACAAGAGGTACAAGAGGTACAAGAGATACAAGAGGATCAATATCATCACTACATTCCACGATTCCTTCTTATGAATTTTGCTATTAACAATTATGGGAGGATATTCGTGGGCAATGACAAGTTATTATTATACAAAGAGAAAAAGCATAAGCAAAACTTCAAAGACTGGAATAAGAAAGAAGCTCTTCTCCAAACTTACAATAAGGAGAAAGGTCAAATAATTAATTCTCTGGTTGGGAAAACTTATGGATATATGAACATGTATAAAGATCTCAATAATAAAGATGTGATGTATGTGGAAAAAGAGCTCTCAAAACTTGAAGGGAAAGCATCACTAACGGTCAGACGTATTATCAATGCATCTCAAACGGAAAATGAAATTGATTTAGTCAGGAAACATCTTGAGAATCTACGCAAATTTCTCTTCATCATGAACTATCGAAACTGTCATAGATGGTCTCAATTTGCCAATGAAAAATTTGATAGCTTCACTTGGGCTTTGTTGCGAGAGCACATGGAAGAACATAAATTAAAAAAAGCGCATGAAGTATGGTTACAGAATATCCGCGGAATACTAGAGACCCCCCACAAGGATATTAAAGATGACTCTCGAATCTTTTCAGTAGATAGGACGGATTATCAACAACGCATGGTTGACTGTTTTCTCGTAATTTGGCAAGCCGGAGATAATGACGAGTTCATAATAACCAGTAACGGATTTGGAATCTTTGAGGGGTTTTCGGGGGTTGGGCCTGTTGGTCCATTTCAACTTGCTTACCATTGGTTTTACGTTATCTCTCCAAAGCTGGTGTTGGTCCTCTGTACTCATGGAACTGAAATCATAGGATCAATGTTTGGCAAGAAGTCGATATTGGCAAATGCTCCTCATCCACTCGCAAAAGTAAAGTATGCACCAATTAGTGAATCCAGTCATAGTACTGGCGGAACTGCATTTGATGAACTACTAAGGTGTGAGGGTTTGGAAAGAACAGAGAATGACACCCTCACCCTTCCCTTTGCCAAAATTTCTTCAGATACTGTTAGCCTTGTAAACTCTATCTTGCTCAATGAGACTGAACCAGACCTGATTTTGACTTTCCTCTCTCCATCATATCTCTATAAGGCAATTGTCAAATATGATAAATACAAGGAAGTTTATTTGCATGACCATGACTACACGGGTTTGAAAAGAATGCTGTTTAAAGAGTTAAACAAGACTCACAAGGAAGACTTGAATCTACGGAAGAATATCCCAGACAACCACATAAATACTTGGACTGTGTGTGAGATAGATTCATAGTATTTAGATATGGGCAATGACTTTTGTGCACCCGCACGGTTTGCACATCCCTAAATTATTAACAATATCAATTTTGTATTATTGTGTGATTTTGTCTGTGATCTGTCAAGCATTGATAGGTAGATTTCACTCTGTGCTAACCTCAAAACCCTATAATAATAATGAGAGTAACTTTTATAGTCGATCATTCCAGCTGTATTATATATATTTATATAATATATATTATGTAATATTTATTATTTATTAAGAATGAGTTATTATTATATATGTTATGTAATAATTATTAATAAAATCTAAAATCTAAGACCTGAGAATTGATATTAATATTGAGAGTTAAGATCTAATAATTAGATTTATCCACATAACAAGTATGTCTTCTCTCTTCTCTCTACTCTTCTCTTCCTCTTATCTCTATCTCTTCAACTCACTATCATCTTCTCTGCTGCAATAAAGAGAAACTAGTAACGAGATGTTCAACTTACTTACATATACTGCATTACTAATATTTGTACCATCCGTTATTATGGCGATATTTTTGAAGAAAAAGAAAGCTATTGCATCCTGTTCGGACGCTATGATTTTGGAAGATTATAGAGGTATTGACATTTTTTCTTTAAGAAAACATAACGCTCATTCGGCATGCAAATAAATCACACAAAACGATTATAACTAGAAGTATGTCGTGTGCCGCCCGATTTCATCGGTCGGCCTTTAGAATTTTTACCGTTGGATAAATTTAAGCTAAAATGCATTTCACGACTACTAGTGCGGGAAACTCATTCTAAGAGAAAATGTTGGAATCATATTTCTATTTTGTGTTTAATAAAAGCAAAATTATGCTTTCTCATAATTATATCTGGGTTTTTCCAAGTAATTCTAATCAGCGTGAGCTTTTTCTTTGTATAGTATTTAAATGCGTTTGAATGATGAAAATCATTAATGCTAATCATAATAATTTTCGTAATTTTGTAAATTGTAATCAAACTAAAAATTTGGATCAGAATCAGCTTTCAGTTGGAAAATTTGACTTTGAATACATTCACAGTCAATTAATTTTATTACTGTATTGATATTAATTGTAACATTTAACAGAAGCTCCTATTTATAGCTGCTGTATTAGTATTAAAATTTGATAAACTGTTGTTTGTTGTTATAATATATAGTTTATGGGCTAGACTATAGGAAGTTTTTGAGATGATATTCCTTCTAATCTTTTACATTCATTTATAACATCAGGGTCTGTTATAAAAGCATTTTGATAAATGCTACTAATGTTTACTTTGTCCCATGTTGGACATCTGCTTATTGCAACATAAGTTTGTCCTGGAGCAAATATTCAACATGTATAAAAATGGAATTAAATAAATTTCGGGTGCGAAAAATTGCATGCTTGCTAGTGGAAACGTCTATTTTATATGAATTATAACAGGGTACAATATCTATGTTGTATGTCCATTCCGAACTGACATACAGTGTGTTACAAAAAAATTGAAATTATATTTTGTATATTATAGAGAACAAATTTATTTAAGGACAGTTAATAGATTATTTTATTATAATCTTTCTTAATTTATAAATTAATCTTGGAAAAAAAAATATCGAAAAAGTAATTACAAGTTAAAGCATTTTTTATAAAAACTTTTATTAAGATATTTAATTAAGTAACTTTAAGTAAATTTAAGCAACAACATGAAGAACATATTTGAAAATTTTTGTGTTGTTGTACGAATCGTATTATTGAGAACGTTGCTGGGATTTCATCGATAATCGTTCGTACAACTGATTAAGCTCTCGACGCTGTAAA